GTAAAGAGACCGGGGTCTCACTCCTTGGGCTCCAGGCTGGTTTCGACTCCTGACCTTCAGTGATCCTCCCGCCCTGGCCCCCCCCAAAGAAGTGCTAGGTATTACAGGCATGAGCGCGGCCGCGCCCCAGGCCCAAGCTGACAAAATATTCAAAATGTGAATGTTCTCACCGTGATAACTGGTGCATTTGGCATGTAACCTTTATTGTTAAGAGAAAAACCTGCGAAACGCTTTTTAAAAAGCCTAGCTTGCCCTCCGACCCCATCTTTCAGGTTTCCTTCATCAACCTGTGAATCTTTCCCCTTTTCTCTGATTTGTCCACAGTTTCTTAGTAAGTATCTTGGAGGATACTTTACCAAAGATATACATTTTAAATTAGCATATAAAAGTATGTTCACAACAAAAAAATCACATAACCCAATAAAAAAATGGGCAAAGGACTTGAATAACATTTCTCTACAGATAATATACAAATGGCCATCAAGCATATGAAAAGATGCTCAACATAACTAATCATTAGATAAATGCAAATCAAAACTACAATGAGATATCATCCCACACCTCTTAGGATGGTTACTAATAAAACCAGAAAATAGTAAGTGTTGATGAGGATGTGGAGAAATTGGAACCCTTGTGCACTGCTCGTAAGATTACAAAATGGTATGACTACTGTGGAAAACAATATAGGGCTCCTAAAGAAATTTAAATAGAACTACCAGCAATCCCACTTCTGGGTATATATCAGAATTGAAAACAGGCTCTCAAAGAGGTATCTGCACTCCATGTTCATAGCCCCCCTATTCCATAATATTAAGAGGTAGAAGCAACCCAAATGGCCATTGACAGATGAATGGATAAATAAAATGTGGTAGCCGGGCGCGGTGGCTCACGCCTGTAATCCTAGCTCTTGGGAGGCTGAGGCGGGCGGATTGCTCAAGGTCAGGAGTTCAAAACCAGCCTGAGCAAGAGTGAGACCCCGTCTCTACTATAAATACAAAGAAATTAATTGGCCAACTAAAAATATATAGAAAAAAATTAGCCGGGCATGGTGGCGCATGCCTGTAGTCCCAGCTACTTGGGAGGCTGAGGCAGAAGGATCGCTCGAGCCCAGGAGTTTGAGGTTGCTGTGAGCTAGGCTGACGCCACGGCACTCACTCTAGCCTGGGCAACAAAGTGAGACTCTGTCTCCAAAAAAAAAAAAACGATAGGATGTTGGCAATGGAAGCAGCCTTTTCATTGGTTTTCAGTGCTTTTGTGGCAACCTCAGGATATTCCACCTTGGCTTTAATCCAGTACATATGGAGGTCTGAAGTTGTCTCAAACATACTTTTAAGGCCACCATCATTTGTGATCTCAAGCAGTTGATCCTCTTCTAACATGGACAAAGTTGATTCACCTGGCTTATTCACAAATGGATTGCAGATCCATTCCTTCCTGGTTCAGGAGTCTTTTGTAGTTGGGAAGTAATGCTCAAACTCTTTTGAAAGCTGAGATAGGTGATCATGTACCAGCTGGGAGAAAGAAGGCCCTGGCTCAGTCTCTTTCAAAATCTCTGCTAATGTTTGAAACATGTCAAAAATCCCAATGTTCACTCATCACCCCCATAATTCTAGTTTGGCTTTGAATGCAGTCATTTTATCTGTTGCCTCGAACACAGTTGTCATTCTCCCCTGAGTGACAGATTTGAGCTCGTTGAGCAGGTTGAATATGTCACACAAGCAAGTTTTGTGACCCATTCTGTGTCACTGAAATGTGCTGTCAGTAGTGACTGTTTTTCTAAAAGAAATCTCTGAAGTGCCTCTCATAATTCAAAAACTCTGGCCAGTGATTTACCTTTAGAAAGCCATCTTCTGTGTTTAAGAGAAGATGTGGGCCAGGCGTGGTGGCTCACACCTATAATCCTAGCACTCTGGGAGGCTGAGGTGGGAGGATCGCTCAAGGTCAGGAGTTCGAAACCAGCCTGAGCAAGAGCAAGACCCCCGTCTCTACTAAAAATAGAAAGAAATTAATTGGCCAACTAAAAATATATAGAAAAAAATTAGCCGGGCATGGTGGCACATGCCTGTAGTCCCAGGTTCTCGGGAGGCTGAGGTAGGAGGATCACTTGAGCCCAGGAGTTTGAGGTTGCTGTGAGCTAGGCTGATGTCATGGCATTTTAGCCCAGGCAACAGAGTGAGACTCTATCTCAAAAAAAAAAAAAAAAAGAGAGAGAGAGAAGATGTGTGTGCTCTGCATCCATCTCCTCACAGAGCTGAGAGAACAGACATGAGTTAAGGGCATGTACATTAATGTGGTTGATAATTTTAATCACATCTGCGAAACATTTAGTCAGGTGACATTTTTCAGCTAGCCAGCATTTCTCTATGGATGACACAGTACATAGACTCACATTCAGAAGTGACCTCCTTTCATTCCTGAGCAATGAAACCAGAAAGCTGTCCAATCATGGCAGCCACTCCATCCATGCACATACTGACGCAAAATGACCAATTCAGTTTTGCTGATATGTAATCATTCAAAGACTTGAATAGTCCTGCAGCTGTGGTGTCGGTTGGCAACAAACATGCACATAACATATCCTCATGCACATCCTCTTGAAAAATATATTGCACAAAAGCAAGCATTGTTGCTTTGTTGTCAACATCGGTAGACTTGTCAACCTGGATCACATACCACAATGACTTATTAATCCTAATAGTTGTGCATCAATATGCTCTGCTATTTCATCAATTCACCTAGTTATGGTGCTAGCTTAAAGAGGAACACGTGCCACCTTTTGAACTGCGGGCTCTCCTAAAATTTCACAGCAAATGTCCTTATCAGCAAGCAAGATCTACTCCTCACCAACAGTAAAGGGCTTCTTAGCTTTAGCAATGTGGTTAGCCACTAAGAATGATGCTCTCAGTGGAGGCACATTAGATGAAGTGGTGGCCTTCGATAATCGCTTCTGTTATTCATGTTCACGATTTTTTTCTTTTGAAAAACTCCAAAGGCTTGTCTTTTAATGCAGGGTGCTTGGTATCCATGTGGTGAAAATTTTGAAGGTTTCATGGCTTTGTTGGATAGCTTGTCACCACATATTATATTTAATTCAAAGTGGGCTTAGAGAATGTGAATTACCTGCTGCAATGAGCCCATAATTTAAGCAGGACTCTTTGCATTTTTTTTTTTTGAGACAGAGTCCTGCTTTGTTGCCCTGGCTAGAGTGAGTGCCATGGTGTCAGACTAGCTCACAGCAACCTCAAACTCCTGGACTCAAGCAATCCTACTGCCTCAGCCTCCCAAGTAGCTGAGACTACAGGCATGCACCACAATGCCTGGCTAATTTTTTCTATATATATTAGTTGGCCAATTAATTTCTATTTATAGTAGAGACAGGGTCTCGCTCTTGCTCAGGCTGGTTTGGAACTCCTGACCTTAAGCAATCCACCCGCCTCGGCCTCCCAGAGTGCTAGGATTACAGGTGTGAGCCACCGTGCCTGGCCTTGGCATTTTCTTTTAAATGCAGCTTTCATCTTGTTGGCAGTTTTAGAGTCTACTGCTGTCTCATCACTGGGTCTTTCTCCCTCTTCAAAGACACTCTCTAGTAATGTTTGTTTTTTACTCATATTTGCTAGGATTAGTTCATGGACTTACCAAAACTGTGACTGAGACAAGTGCTCAGTGTGGGAAAGAGGCGTGGATGGGAGTGGCAAATAAAACAATGGGTGGGCCATGTGTGGAATTAAGTGTTAGATTCTGGCTTAAAGCTTGCCACCAGATGGAGCTTAATTGTTACTTGTCACTCACTGATAGAGTTTTGATATAAGTCTGCAAGCAACTGATATATTATGGTCTCTGTGCAGTAAAACCTCTCTGCTAATGATAATCTGTATTTGCAGCCACTCCCCAGTGCTAACATCACCACCTCAGCTCCACCTCGGATCATCAGGCATTAGATTCTCATAAGGAGGGTGTAATCTAGATCCCTCGCAAGCGCAAGCGCAGTTTACAGCATGGTTCATGCTCCTATGAGAATCTAATGCCCCCCCCCCATCTGACAGGAGGCGGAGCTTGGGCAGCAATGTGAGGGGAGTGGCTGCAAATACAGATGAAGCCTCTCGCTCATCTCCTGCTGTGCAGCCCAGTTCCTAACAGGCCACAGGCCAGTAGTGATCTGCAGCCCAGGGACTTGGGACTGCAGGTTTAGATGATATCCAGGCCACAGTCATGGGAGTTTGTGGCTAAAATGAAGTAAAGGTAAAGGTCATTCATTGTCTGGAATTGAGGTTAAAGAATTGTGAGGAAGTTAGGGTTAGTTATCAACATGATGGTTAATTCTTTCTCAGAATGAGGACAGGAAATGAGGTAGAGAGGAAGACCTCATCGGATACAGGAGAGTAACTGGGAAGATGGTAACATAGCTCCATCCTGGGCCTTCCCAAGACCCCACCCTTTTCTTTTCTAATTCTTGCTAGCTCACATCCAACCTACTTTTCCTTGCAAATAAGGAAATCAGAAAAACAGCAAAGAAGACCACCCCACTATTTCACAGCAGCACTTCTCAAACATGCCCTGGAAGTTGCACCTACTAAGTGCAACTTATTGTAGATAATACAAGTAGGTTAACACACCTCCTGTCCCAATACCTTGTAATACAAGCAAACCGATAAAAACATGGATACAAATACATGGCTATTGATATCACTGAAGCAGTGTGACATAAAATAATATCTATACATACAACACTCCTTTGCAAATAGCAAATGTAAAATAAAAGATACCTGACAGATAATTTTGTTTATCTCAGTATCATTTCTTGATCTCTAATGTCTCCCCCTCCCATGTACCCACACAGGGAACCAGTACTCTTAGCTAGCTGTCTAACTGCGGGGAGGCAGGGCTGGGAGGAGATTACCTACTTCTCCTGGAGAAGCCAGGTCGCTTAGATAAGGGTCGCCACAGAGAATAAGAAAATTGATAGGAAATAGAGAGAATAAAAGAATACACAGAGACTGAGGTGTAGTTTATAGTTTTATTTAAGCAGATTAGAATAACAGTGGGGGTACTCAGGAGTCTATACCATATCTACATGAATGGTCCAGCACTGAAGTTAGATTCACATAGGTTTTTATAATCACAGATATCAATTACCAGTTGCCAGGGTAACACATTTACACATCAGTGCAGCTGCTATGGGAACAGGATTATATAGTAACAGGTAGTGAGTTAGGGTCAAAAGTCTTTTTTAAGGGCTTCTAACAATTTCTAATCTATCTAGGTGAACAGGTACAAAGTCTTTTAAGGACTAACTTCTAAGTTGAGCCAGATATTTACCTTGTCTTACCTTTCAAGAAACAGGACAGCCTCACAGACGAGATAACCAGGAAGCCTCTTGGAAAACATCCTTACCTGCAAACTCCTATTTCTGTCTTTAATATAGCAATATTGGGTAATGCAATAAAATAATGATCTTATGAGCCACATCACATTAATTCCTCAATCATATTTCTCAACATCTAACTAGATGGTATCTCCCTTGGTTTACTTACTGAGAGCCTATTTTCATGCAGATCTGAGCTATCCTACCCCCTCACTGCAATCTAGCTTTTCCTTAAGTATGAAGTCTGATATGGAATGGCTCACCTACAGCTTCAATGTTTGAAATAAAGGAAGCTTTATGCAGATTTTGGCTTTTAATGATTCTTCTCTGACACTAGAAAGATTCAAACCCATAGCCAATTCTAAGAACCAAGACAGGGTTACTTAAAAGGATCTGACTTGCTGAAACTATAATTCATGCTGCTTTTCTCTATGACATGCCACAATATTTTTTCAAAAAATCTTTAAACATTAACTTTGAAGAAGGAATAAAAACAGCTATTTTAGTAACTAGAGACACCCAAGCACTGATCTATTCAAAGTTTCTACACAGCTCAAGTTTACATCAAATGAACAAAAAATAGTACAGAAAACCTACATACAGAAGAGATTTAGAAAAATCTATCTCCTGGGAAGCAGGTCAAATGGACTCAGTTAAAGATCTCACTGAATGTAGGAGAACTATGAGAAACAACATAAAGCCTTCTGCTGGGACACAAATAGGAATTAGTACATGCAAAGAAGTTACTTTTCTTCCTAATCTAAATGCTTGCCTCCAGTCTGTACTCAGAGAAAGGTCATGGTTCATTTGAACTGGTTGTCAATCAAGGTCCCCTTCATTTTTGCTTTCTTGGCTTCAAGTTCAGCCTGGAAAGGAAAAAAGTGTATGTCTTGATACATAACATAAAATTCTTATTTTCCTTTCTTATTCTAACCACTCCCAAACACTCTCCCTTAATGTTCATTTACTGTACAAACTAGAATAGTGGCTCTAAAATCATTATCCATCTCTAACAACTGCTTTCCAACCTTTCTGATGTCACAGTACACACAGAAAATGCTATCTGTAGGCAAAACTGGTAAATAGACAAGGCTGCAGCCAAAGGAAGTCAGTACAGGGATTCCAGCAGCCCCAGCACCCCATCCCCCAAGGCCTGAGGGAATCAATATCATGGCATACCAGTATCCTATTCTTGGCAGAACAGGAAGAAGAACATCATTCTAGAACAGTGCTAAAGTCCTGCAGTCTGCGAACTGTTTGTTATCAGTCCAGGCAAGATATGTATAAAAATTGAAAGTAAGCATTCAGAAACATTTTTAGTAATTTGACAGAGTAATAATAATCTAATAAATATTGAGGCCAATTTATTTTATAAATTACAAATCCGTTCATGACAAATTGGAAATTAAAAAAAAGAATGCACCGATCTTTCACCTTAGAAAGTTTGAGAAGCACTGCTCTAAACCACTATGGCAATAAGGTAAAGCAATTCCCAGGACCTACCACCACTGTCACCAAAACTCCACTCATTATAAGAGACTGGTATACCTTTTGACTAGGCACCAATGAAGTGATGTCTGATTTTAATGAAATATTTTGAGTAAATTATTATCAAAAAAGCAACAATCTAGGCACCATCATGTATAGATGTACACGCTCTAAGATGATCCAATGACTAATGCAGAAAACCACCAGTGCTTTAAGAAGCACCAACTAACCCCAATTTTGGTATCACCAAGGTAGCACTATTGTAGGCCATCATTTCCTGGAAGAGCAGCCAAAAACCCTGACCTGAGACAAATAGCAGATTAAAATATGCTAATTAGGGCTATCTAACATGTATCATGACTTGGGGCCTTGATCCTGTGGTCACTACTACAGATTGGGGTTAGAAAGCTGGCAGCCAACTGCCCTAATAACTCCCAGTAGACTTTCTAAGGGTTTGCCTGCCTGCTGGAAGGTCTTTCAGACCAAGAAATCAAAACAATCACCTTGCTCCCTCATGCTACTCACCAGCTCTTGCAGTCGCCTCTTGCTCATGCCTTTGCGCTCCAGCTGTTTTTCGATCACTTTGGCATTCTGCGCATATGAGTCGGCAACTTCTCTCTGAAGGAAAAAAGTGTCCTTACACTAGCAGCCTCATCGAGGAATAACAACAAAGACCATAAGTAGTAAATTATACTACTCAAATCATGAAATCATTACTGAAATGGCAGGACTCTGTTCCCTTTCATATCTGTACCTTTTCAATAATCCAGGAGAGCTCAGGTTTCAACCAAAGCCATTTGTAAAATAACACATAACATCTCTCGGTAAACATCATTATACTGAAGTACCATAAAGGTAATTGCTGCTATTGCTAAGGGCAGACTCACAAGCCATCAGAACTGAACTAAAAGGGACCTACAGCAATTTAGTCCAACAGTTTTTCAAACGAAAAGGGATGAGGGCTTTGCCCTCTAAGGCATCTCAAAAAATCGTATGAAAAAAATAAGCCACTGATGTCATTTTACAGATCTCTCTGAGATCCAGGGAAATAGGAACTAGCCCAGTCATAGAGTTTCTTACCAGCAGAGCAGGGTCTAAATGCAGAGTCTCTAATTTGTCTGCTAATCATAGGCTGTAGCTCTACAGTCCCTTTTCCTCCTCCACCCCAAATTCCATCTCCTGAGAACAGAAGCACTTACAGCCTCAATCTCCTCTTCCTCTTCATCAATGGTAGACACAGTGACAGAGCTGAACTTGCCCATGTCTTTAGTCCGTTTGGTCATCATCACCTGGAGTGGCAGGAACAGGAGTTAGCCTAATTCACCACCAGAAGATCCATGAGTGGGGAGATTGTGTCTGTGTGTGTGTGTGTGTGTGTGTGTGTGTGTGTGTGTGCATGCACACGCATGTACACGTGCCTGTGTGCAGGGCTGTAAGGTGGACACTTACCTCTTTGGGATAGGCTGACCTATCTAAAAGTGCCAATGTTTTCATTTACATTACAGTTTTCTAACATTTGCCACCAGGGATTTTTTAAAAATATTGAAAAATCAGCCTAGTTCATTCAGTATGTAATTGTTCACACTAGAAAAACGAGAAATTTTGAAGGAAATAAATGTGACTAAAGACCATACAATTTCTAGCCTTACAAGGCAACTATAGGAAAGAAAAAAAAAAAATAGGTGTTACAATTCTGTAACATCTGCTCATACACAAAAATGGTATTTTCTTAATAAAGAATCTATCTCTTAGGGAGAAAAGAAAGAAAGAAAAAAAGAAAGCAAGCAAGCATGCATGCATAAAGGGCAGTTTTTCATGCAGTGTAATCTTATTTAAAAATCTAGTCTAAATCTGTGGCTATCTTAAGCAGTCTCCTTCAATGATAATTACCTTCTTAGGGGGCTCTTGTTTCTGAGTATATATATTCGTTTTCCCAAAACCCTGGCCAAACTTGACTACTGCTCCATCCACAATGAAGGTCACGGGAGCATTCTTCGGCTGGGACTGGTAGAAAAGTGGCAGTCCACACCTGCAAACAGCATAGTGAATCTCTGGGAGGCTTCAGAATGCATATCCCCAAAATAACAACTCAAAAAGTATGGTTAGACTCTGGGAATATTTTTGTTTGTGGCATAAACTAATGATCAGCTCTTCCCAGTGTTTCCCAAAACTACTCAATAAGAATCCTGTAGGTGCTTGTTAAAATTGTTGATCAGATTCCTAGGTCCCTCCCCAGAAAACCCTGATTTGGCAATTGGTGGGGAGAGGGGTTGTGAGAACTGGGAATCTGTCATTTTAATCAGCATCCCAAGCGATTCTTATCATTAGACAAGCCTAGGAAAGGCTGGCTCATGCTGATTGCTGTTTAGTCAAAATTGCTGCCATTCTTCCCAGGCATCTGGGTTTGGGCATTTTGTCTAGTCTTTTCTGTTTTGTTTTGCCTTTGCAGTATCAAGAGGAAACATAAAGGCTCCACTGCAGTGATTGGTAAACTAATCCCTGCAGTAATCACCATTTTTCTCTGGCTGGCCATATTATACTTTTTGAGCTAAGCAAAGCAGACCTATAAGATATGATAAAACCAATTTTATCAATCAGGTGTGCCCAGGAGCTAAAATGCCTTCTTGCCCATTTTCCCCTCTTCGATTCTCCTAGTATAAGTCCTCTGCGAGCCAAGATTTAACTGTAGTTTCATCGAGATTGAACTTACTATAGTTCATATTCTCATTATTAACAGCCTAAAGTTGGAAAATTTTTTGGCTTTAAATAACACTCCCTAAACTAAGGTCCAATAGATCTAAGGTACTATAAAAGGCTTTAGAAATAGGTCTGGATTAAATCACACTATGTTACATTTATCATATGAGCCAGCAATTCCTCTCCAAGAGAAAACACATGTTTCCATCAAGATTTATACTATAATGTTCATAACAGCTTTTTTGGTAATAGCACAAACCAGAAACAACTCAAATGCCCCTCAGCAGGTGAATGGGTAAACAAATTGTACAAGGAATTACAACTCAGCAATAAAGAGGAACAACTGGTTGATACACATAATTTGGATGAATCCCCAAAATATTATACTAAGTGAAAGAAATGAGGTGCAAAAAGTAAATCTTATATAATACTTAGAACACATATTGTAGAATTTATAAAAATTTTTAAGAAAGGCAAAACCAGAGTCGCAGAAAGCAGAAAGCAGATCAGTGCCTGCCAGGGGAAAGGAGTGGAGGAAGGGGATTGACTACAAAGGGTACACGGGGTGCTGGAAATGTTTTATATCAGGATGGTGGTGGTGTTACATGACTATATACTTTTGCTAAAACTCATCAAATTGTACACTTAAAATGAGCAAATTTTATTATATATAAATTACATCTCAATTTTTAAAAAATTATACTATATTAAAAACTCATTTTTGTGGCCAACTGGTGAGGGATATAATTTTGACTAACCTCTTCAGGGAGCATACTGGGATTTCTGTATAGCTGAAGTGTGAAGGCAACTGACATTATAAGAATAAAGACATAACAGAGAGTTGTATCCAAATAATTATTTTTCTAACATTGTGCCTGTACTTGCCTATGCTTGGAGAAACCCATACTGTTAATACTTACTTCGCACACTTCTTCCTGTACTGTCGTTCAATGCCTTCAGGTCTGCACAGAAAATGGAAGTTAAAAAATAGATACGAACAAATCTCATAACCTATCAACCTCATTTCTTCAAATGCTGAAAGGGCCTTTCAAAAGTTGTCATTTCATAGATCAACTGGTTAAACATTCTTTTCTTCCTTCAGCAAACACTTACCTAAGATGGGTCAGGTATTTCCCTGACAGAAGGAGAGGAGAAGCAGTATAGTAGTTATAGACACAGTAGCAATAGTAGTTGCAGTAATAACAGCAGCAACCACTTATACAGTTTTTACTATGTGCCAGGAGCTATTCTAAAGTATAGATGTATCAACTCATTTAATTCTCACAACAACCCTGTGAGGTAGGTCATATTACTTATTCCCACTTTACAGATAAGGGAACCTAAGAACAAAGAATTACATCATGTGTTCCATCCAAGTTGTTACAAAAAAAAAAAGAAAAAAAAAAAAAGAATTACATCATGTGTCCAAGGTCACAGAGCTAGGAACAGAGGAGGCCGAATCCAAGCTCAAGAGCCCACATGACACTGCCTTAGATAACCAACTCATAGGGACAATGACTCAATTCTACCACTTGCCTAACAAAAACCTGGGACTCATCTTCGATTCTTCTTTTTCTCACATCTATTTCTTCAGCAAATCCTGTGAATTTTATCTCCAAAAAAAGATCTTGAACCCATCTTCTTTTCTCCACTTTCCTGTCACCATCTTGGCCTAACCATCAATATCAACTCCCTGAATTACAATAACAGCTTCCTAACTGGTCTCACTTCCCCTCCCTCTGTGCATTTCAGTTTTTTAGTAGGTAACATATGTACACAGTATATGTAAGAGTATAAAATGGGCCGGGCGCGGTGGCTCACGCCTGTAATCCTAGCTCTCTGGGAGGCTGAGGGGGGCAGATTGCTCGAGGTCAGGAGTTCGAAACCAGCCTGAGCAAGAGCGAGACCTCGTCTCTACTATAAATAGAAAAATTAATTGGCCAACTAATATATATAAAAAAATTAGCTGGGCATGGGGCGCATGCCTGTAGTCCCAGCTACTTGGGAAGCTGAGGCAGGAGGATTGCTTGAGCCAGGAGTTTGAGGTTGCTGTGAGCTAGGCTGATGTCAGGGCACTCACTCTAGCCTAGGCAACAAAGTGAGACTCTGTCTCAAAAAAAAAAAGAGATAAAATGAAAAGTAAATATCTTCACCATTTGTCTTCCACCCACCCAGTTCCCTTCCCCGAGGTAAATACTGTTTCTGTTCTATGTTCATCCTAGAGATAGCTGACGCATATACAAAGAACTCTGATTGGTACACAAAGAGATACTTTTTCCTTTTTTAGACAAATGTACTGTTTACATTTCTCTATTTCTGTTCACTTAAAAATATTTCTTGGATATATATATATATATGCATGTTAATATATACATATATATGATCCTTCTGTATCTATAGATAAAGAGTGATTTCATCTTTACGAGGGCTGCATTGTATTTTGTATGGATGAACCAAAATGTCTTTTACCTATTGGTAAATTCCTAGAAGTGCGTACAATTTAATCCTGGTATTATAGATACAGTCAAATTTCTGTCTATAGAAGTTGAACCAATTTTACTCTACCACCAACATATTAGAGTTCCTGTTTCCTACAGTCTCACCAACCGAATGTTATTCAACTGCATCACTATCATTTTCACATGTGAAAAATGGGATCTCACAATTTGTATTCTTTTTTACAGTGCAGTTATAAATCTTTTCATATTTATAGTCAATTTGCATTTCTTTTTTTAACTGTTAGTTCATATCCTTTGTTACTAAGTTACCTTTTTATTTATATTAGATGACCACAAATATTAAAGGCCTTGGAAATATTTCTTTTCCAGTTTTGACTCTTTTCCACACATGGAAATTTGAGTTTTCTGTGGTCAAAGATTATTTTTTTTTTTTTTGTATGTAATAACGTTATAAACTCTAACCAATAAATAACCTGATTTTATAAAGGGCAATGGACCTGAATAGACGTTCTCCAAAAAAGACATACAAATGACCAGAGTATTATGAAAAGTATTCAACATCACTAATCCTCAGGGAAAGCAAATCAAACCACACACAAAACCTCACTCCAGGCCGGCGCGGTGGCTCACGCCTGTAATCCTAGCCTTGGAGGCCGGAGGCGGGCGGATTTGCTAAAGGTCAGGAGTTCAAAACCAGCCTGAGCAAGGAGCGAACCCCGTCTCTATATAAATAGAAAGAATTATTGGCAACTATATATATAAAAAATTAGCCGGGCATGGGTGGGCATGCTGTAGTCCCAGCACTCGGAGGCTGAGGCGAAGGATCGCTGGAGCCCAGAGTTTGAGGTTGCTGTGAGCTAGGCTGACGCCATGGCACTCACTCTAGCCTGGGCAACAAAGCGAGACTCTGTCTCAAAAAAAAAAAAAAAAAAAAAAAAAAAAAACCTCACTCCAGCTAAAATGGCTATTAAAAAGACAAAAGTATTGGCAAGGATGTGAAGAAAAGGGAACTTTTATGCACTCCTCATGGGAATGTAAATTAGTACAGCCATTATGGAAAAGAGTATGGAGTTTCCTCAAAAAATTAAAAATAAAACTACTGTGCGATCCAGCAATCCCACTTCTTAGTATATATCCAAAGGAAATGAAACCAGTATCTCAAAGAAGTACCTGCACTCCTATGTTCATTGCAGCATTATTCACAATAGCCAAGATATGTAAACAATCTAAATGTCCCTCAGTGGATAAATGGATAAAAGTGTACAACTTGATGTTCTGATATACATATACATTGTGAAATGATCACCACAATTTAAGCTAAATAACAAATCCATCACCTCACAGTTACCATTTTCTTTGTGGGTGTGTGCCCACATGCATCCATGCGGTGAGAACACTTAAGATCTACCCTTTTAACAAATTTAAAGAGTACAATATAGTATTGTTAACTATATTCACCATGCTGTACGTTAAATCTCTAAAACTTTTTCATGTTACAGAACAGAAACTTTATATCCATTGAACAACTTCCCATCCCCCCCAGCCCTTGGCAACCATCATTGTACTCTCTGCTTCTATGAATTTGACTATTTTAGATTCCACAAATAAGTGAGATCATGAAATATTTGTCTTTCTGTGTCTGGCTTATTTCACTTAACATAATGTCCTCCACGTTCACCCATGTTATCACATATGGCAGGATTTCATTCTTTTTTAAGGCTGAATAATGTTCCTGTGGGGGTGCTTTTATATAATAACAAAGCCACTCCCACAATAACAAACCCACTCCTGTGATAGTGATATTAATCCATTCACCAGAGCAGAGACCTCATTAATCCATTAATCCATTCATGAGGGCAGAGGGATTAAGTTTCCCACACATGAACCCTGGCCAACAAGGGAGCACACTGTGGACCCTTGGAAAGACTGTTCATGATTACAGCAGTGGCTATGACAACCAAGAGAGAAGTTTACCATGGCTTATTGGTAAACTCTAAGAGCTATGGCCCAACAGAGTCACTTGGCCAGAGGCCACCAGCCTGGAACTACCTAGCCCTAAGGCTAGGCCTAAAGCTGGCTCACCTCCAGGATCAGGCTGGTTGGATTTTGGGGTTTCTACTCCAGTCTAGAGCCACCCAGCAGTTTTCTGGCCGAGAGGTAAGAGCATCTGCCTTACAGTGCCATAGGAGCCCCTGGCCTAGTTGTGTTGTTAAATTATTTCCTATATTAACTGAATAATATTAATACACATTAACTTAATATATAAGATACTATTATATATATACTTATACATAAATGTATACAATATATAAATATTTTAGTGATCCTAAAGATTGTCAGTTGATAATTTTCAAAATCAGAAACCTAAATAATGAGGTGAGACAAAACACAAAAGAATGAATTAGCCTTAGATAGGGCATGTTATTTATAAACCTTCCTATATATCATAATGGAATTTTTCCCCTGGATGTTTCCTGGAGGGCTTTCCTTTGCAAATTTCATAAAGTGCTCCCAGTGGTACCTTATATATAACCAATTTTCTCTTCAGTTGCTCAATTTTAAAAGCCCAGTTGTCATAATGGTGCTTGATGCCTGATCTGCTACTGAAAGTCACCTAGCAGTGGCTTCTAATTCTTTTCCATTAGTGTGGGCTAACAACAGTTTGGTTTCTTAAATTAAACATAGCTAGATGTCAGCCTGTAAGCTTTTTCTGGTCAACGCTAGAACATAAGTTCCATAAGGGCAGGGATCTTTGCTTATTTACTGGTTATACTGAGTTGTATACCGTCCCTTAAAAATTCATGTCCTTCCAGGAACTTCAGAATGTGACCTTATTTGGAAACAGGGTTGTTGCATATATAACTGGTTAAGATGAGGTCATACTGGAGTAGGATGGGCCCTTAATCCTATGTGACTGGTGTCTTTATAAGAGGAGGAGTAGCGACACAGGGAGAATGCCATGTGATGATACAGGCAGCAATTGGAGTGATACATTTACAAGCCAAGGAATACCAGGAATTGCTGGCAAACACCAGAAGCAAGTGAAGGTCAAGGAAGGGTCCTCCCCTAGAACCTTCAGAGAGAGCATAGCCCTACCAACACCCTGATTTCAAACTTCTAGCCTCTAGAACTATGAGGCAATTAATTTCTGCTGTTTTAAGCCACCCAGTTTGTTCTTTCACTATGGCAGCTCTAGCAAACTAATATACTGGTATAGTCCAGGTTTCTAGCACAGTACTTGGCACATAGTAGGAGCTCAGTAAATGAAACATTTGCTGAATGAATGGTTGGGCTTTTTGATTCCCCAGGATTGACCTCTCTGTGGCATCTGATACCCACTGGTGCCCCCCTCACCACCACACATACTTCTTGAAACTCTCCTCTTGTTTTCCACATCACTGGTTCTTCTGGTTCTATTCCAATTCTTTCGTTTGCCTTTTAAATCTTCTGTCCTCTCTTCTTGCTCCACACTCTATGTAATTTTATCCCTTCTCAGGTTTCAATTCCCAATATATACCAAGGACTCCCAAATCTAAAACAGATCTAACCATATCACTCCCCTGCTTATAAAATGGAGATGGCTCTTCATTACCTACAGATAAAGTCCAAACTTGTCTGCTTTAGCATTTTACTGTCCTCACCCCAGTAGGCATGAATGCCTTCTTGTAAAGTTGCCCGTGCTCCAACCACAAAAGGACTATTCAAATTTCTCAAGCACACCATATTTGATACTTTTAATGTTTCCATATTCCCTCCACCTGGAATGCTCCTCATCCCCTTCATCTAACTGGTGAAATCCTAGTTCAGGCCAAACACAAAAACCATCATCTTGTGGTGCCTTTCCTGACCACTATTCAAGCAGAATGGCCCACTCACATCTGTCTTCTCATAGCCTTTTCTTCACAACACCAGTATTTCTTCCTATCACAATGGTAGACTATTTCCTCACTGAGCCACAAGCTCTTTAATGGTAGATCATAGCTTATTCATCCTCACAGATCCAGTACCTAGCTCAGTGCCTGGCACCTGGTATGCTCCAGAAGATTACAGGTTGAATAAACTCATTCAAATCTGTAATTTGTAACCAAATTACAGCTATCGAAGAGCAATGGAATCATATCTCAGCACCATTTCAACAAAGCACAATAAAGATACTGCTGCATTAATTGTGGAAAACCACCACAAATGTCAAAGTACTGGGCCCAACTAGACGATGTGTTCAACACTAGATGGGATATTTATATTATTCAGAAATAGACCCCAACACAATAGGGAAATCCTAGACAGTGAGTATCAACCTCTTACCTCCGAAGATAAATGGTCTCCTCATCTTCAGTGTTACAAAACTTGTGGGCATGTTTGGCAGCATCAATCACACGGGACCGGTCCCGGGGCCTCATGGGCAATTTCTCTAACTGACAGTCTGAAGGAATGCAGAAAGATTGTCACTAGAGTCACTGCAAAATATCTTGAGCCAATCAGAAGTTTTCCGTGGGGCCCTTTGTGCTATAATTTTCTACTACAACTACTATACTTATTGAAACCTATTACTGAATTTTCCAACTAAAAATGACACAGTGTCAAGAGACTGTCAATATCCTAGTGATTTGGCAAATCACTTCCTCTTTCAGGGAATTTTTCCGTATTTGAAAGATGTGTGGATTATATTATTTCAAAAGTCCTTCCCAGGCCGGGTGCAGTGGCTCACGCCTGTAATCCTAGCACTCTGGGAAGCCAAGGCGGGTGGATTGCTCGAGGTCAGGAGTTCGAAATCAGCCTGAGCAAGAGCGAGACCCCGTCTCTACTATAAATAGAAAGAAATTAATTGGCCAACTAATATATAGAGAAAAAAATTAGCTGGGCATGGTGGCGCATGCCTGTAGTCCCAGCTACTTGGGAGGCTGAGGCAGGAGGATTGCTTGAGCCAGGAGTTTGAGGTTGCTGTGAGCTAGGCTGATGTCAGGGCACTCACTCTAGCCTAGGCAACAAAGTGAGACTCTGTCTCAAAAAAAAAAAAGAGTATAAAATGAAAAGTAAATATCTTCACCATTTGTCTTCCACCCACCCAGTTCCCTTCCCCAGAGGTAAATACTGTTTCTGATTTCTATTGTTCATCCTAGAGATAGCTGACGCATATACAAAGAACTCTGATTGGTACACAAAGAAGATACTTTTTTCCTTTTTTAGACAAATGTACTGTTTACATTGTTCTCTATTTTTCTGTTCACTTAAAAATATTTCTTGGAATATATATATATATATATATATGCATGTATATATATATACATATATATGATCCTTCTGTATCTATAGATAAAGAGTGATTTCATTCTTTACGAGGGCTGCATTGTATTTTGTATGGATGAACCAAAATGTCTTTTACCTATTGGATAAATTCCTAGAAGTGCGTACAATTTAAATCCTGGTATTATAGATACAGTCAAATTTCTGTCTATAGAAGTTGAACCAATTTGTACTCCTACCACCAACATATTAAGAGTTCCTGTTTCCCTACAGTCTCACCAACACCGAATGTTATTCAACTGCATCACTATCATTTTCACATGTGAAAAATGGGATCTCACAATTTGTATTTCTTTTTTTAACAGTGCAGTTATAAATCTTTTCATAAATTTAATAGTCATTTGCATTTTCTTTTTTTTAACTGTTAGTTCATATCCTTTGGTTACTAAGTTACCTTTTTATTTTATATTAAGATGACCCACAAATATTAAAGGGCCTTGGAAATATTTCTTTTCCAGTTTGACTTTTTCCACCACATGGAAATTTGAGATTTTTCTGTGGTCAAAGATATCTTTTTTTTTTTTTTTGTATGTAATAACGTATAAACTCCTTAACAAATAAATAACCTGATTTTATAAAGGGCAATGGACCTGAATAGACGTTTCTCCAAAAAAGACATACAAATGACCAAGAAGTATATATGAAAAGGTATTCAACATCACTAATCCTCAGGGAAAAGCAAATCAAAACCACAACAAAACCTCACTCCAGGCCGGGCGCGGTGGCTCACGCCTGTAATCCTAGCTCTTGGGAGGCCGAGGCGGGCGGATTGCTCAAGTTGACACAGAGTCTCGCATTGTTGCCCAGGCTAGAGTGAGTGCCATGGTGTCCAGCCTAGCTCACAGCAACCTCAAACTCCTGGGCTCAAGCGATCCTTCTGCTCAGCTCCCGGTAGCTGGGACCACAGCATGCGCCAGCAGGCCGGCTAATTTTTTTTCTCTATATATTAGTTGGCCAATTAATTTTCTTTCTATTTAGTAGAGACGGGGTCTCGCTCTTGCTCAGGCTGATTTCGAACTCCTGACCTCGAGCAATCCACCCGCCTTGGCTTCCCAGAGTGCTAGGATTACAGGCGTGAGCCACTGCACCGGCTCGGGAAGGACTTTTGAAATAATATAATCCACACATCTTTCAAATACGGAAAATTCCCTGAAAGAGGAAGTGATTGCCAAATCTAGGATATTGACAGTCCTTGACACTGTGTCATTTTTAGTTGGAAAATTCAGTAATAGGTTTCAATAAGTATAGTAGTTGTAGTGAAAATTATAGCACAAAGGGCCACGGAAAACTTCTGATTGGCTCAAGATATTTTGCAGTGACTCTAGTGACAATCTTCTGCATTCCTTCAGACTGTCAGTTAGAGAAATTGCCCATGAGGCCCGGGACCGGTCCGTGTGATTGATGCTGCCAAACATGCCACAAGTTTTGTAACACTGAAGATGAGGAGACATTTATCTTTCGGAGGTAAGAGGTTGATACTCACTGTCTAGGATTTCCCTATTGTGTTGGGGTCTATTTTGAATAATATAAATATCCCATCTAGTGTTGAACACATCGTCTAGTTGGGCCAGTACTTTGACATTTGTGGTGGTTTTCCACATTAATGCAGCAGTACTTTATTGTGCTTTGTTGAAATGGTGCTGAGATATGATTCCATTGCTCTTCGATAGCTGTAATTTGGTTACAAATTACAGATTTGAATGAGTTTATTCAACCTGTAATCTTCTGGAGCATACCAGTGCCAGCACTGAGCTAGTACTGGATCTGTAGGATGAATAAGCTATGATCTACATGTAAAGAGCTTGTGGCTCAGTGAGGAAATAGTCTACCATTGTGATAGGAAGAAATACTGTGTTGTGAAGAAAAGGCTATGAGAAGACAGATGTGAGTGGCCATTCTGCTTGAATAGTGGTCAGGAAAGGCCACCACAAGATGATGGTTTTTGTGTTGGCCTGAACTAGGTTTCACCAGTTAGATGAAGGGGATGAGGAGCATTCCAGGTGGAGGGAATATGGAACATTAAAAGTATCAAATATGGTGTGCTTTGAGAAATTTGAATAGTCCTTTTGTGGTTGGAGCACGGGCAACTTTACAAGAAGGCATTCATGCCTACTGGGGTGAGGACAGTAAAATGCTAAAGCAGACA